GTGGAATACTTTATTTTCGCTGGAATTAATTTTCGCTGAAAAGGCTTTTTGGGCGTTTTGTGTGGAATTTATTTTCACTGATTTTTGATGAGTTTAATGTGAAATATAGGAAAAAAAGTATATTCACTGGATTTTATTTTCACGGAATCATCCCTTCAGCGAAAATAGCGAAAATAAATTCCAAGCGAAAATATAGTATTCTACAGTACACCTTTCACAACGACAATTGCTACTATTCACATAAGCCACATTGTATTCCTTAATAGTTAAAAGATACACCTAAAATCATAAATTCTACCTTAAAGATAGAAGTAATTTCAAATTTATACTATTATCTAAAAATATTCAAAAATTAAGAGTAAGCTTTTACGGTAATTACTTACCATAGGGTGATCTGGGGTAGAATGGAGTTGTTTCTTTTTGTGGGATTTCCTGAACTTTGCCAAACATTTCACTGCTTGACGCTTGGTAAAATCTTGCCTTCTTCTCTAGACCGCACGTTCTAATAGCGTCGAGTAACCTGAGAGTACCAACCCCATCAACATCAGCAGTATACTCCCCCATTTCAAATGACACCTTGGAAAAAAAAACAATTGGTCTCAAAGTGACTCAAGTTTATTTTGCGTGATGAAAAAATAACAAAATTTAAATTGTATGATTTCTCCCAAATTATGAAGTTTAGATAACAATAATTCAGTCAGCAGTTATTTATCAGATATGCTTGGAGAACAAAACTTCAAGATGCGAATCCCTCTGGTGATGAAAAATTAGTGGTGATTTGTAATGTAGGACACGTATTAAATGCCACAGGCCAGCTTGTTGGATTTATATCACAAATTTTTAAACTGACCCCTTATAATTACATGTGTCTTTACACAAGTAAAAGTAATATCCCATTATTTAATTTAATTCCCTTTCGACTTGTTTTTAAGATAAACCTTGGTGCTGAAAACCTTGCAATACTCAACGGAAAATCAAATTGTTTGAATCAATCAAAGTCTAAAACCAAGCTGTTACAGATCGACAACACACAATATGTTAATCGCAATAAATACAATATCAGTTTTTTTTTTAATCCCAGTGCCACAGATTGCTCTTATAAGCAAAATGTCAGCATTATACCTACAATAAAATATTACAAATGGGAGTAATGCAGTCTATACAATTCAGAATTCATCAAGAGAAATCAGCAGATGTGTGCGGTAAACAAAAAAAAATTTCGTAAATTTAGAGTCAAGAAATATATAGACCGTAATATCAGTTATTTGTCGGAGGTTCAATTAGCTTTATGAAACATATACATGTATGCAAATTAGCATACAATGTGTCAAAGGTCATTTCTAACATTTGAGGAGAGAGAAAGCAAATTCATTGACGTAATATTTGTTGAACAAGGAGATAACCTTTGGGAATCTATCATCAGATAGGTGCATGGTAACATTTTATAAAACTTTGTAAGGATTTTATATATTCTTTTTGGCAATGCATATAGTATTTTTAATAAGTACAATATTGTCAGATTTTGTTCGTCTATCAGAAACAACTTGTGGTATTATGGGAAGCAGTATTGATATATAGTGTGAAACAAGATAATAAATAACTGTTTTATCATATATGTAACTACATCAGACTGAAAATCTCCAAACTGAAAAACAGAAAGACAAACGTTTAGATACAGGAGTACACAGTAGTACACATGCCATACCAATTCTTGTCGAAAGCATTGCCCGGTGACTAATTTTGATTTTTTTTGTTTTTAAAACTATACCAACTATTGTAAACATCCACGATCAACAATTTCGGTCAAGTGAAATGCACAGAATGTTCATAACACTGTTGGCTGGGCATTTGTGTTTCGGTTTTTTTTTATCTGCCTATTTTTTATCCATGACTAGATGAATACTGACATACTACTTATAACTGATTATAAGTGACACGTCTGTAGTTTAGTTTAGCCGTAGCTAGAAAACGATTAGCCTGACATGTATACGTGAGTAGGCCCTCGCCGACTGAACAGCATTAGACCTCACTAACGCCTGACATAATAGTGTATGTCTCGTCGACAATACTGCAAATTTGCATAATTCACGCCTTCTTACAATGAGTTCAGAGAATATTCATTTCGGTGGTCATTGTAATACCGTGGTAACATTGGGCGGAAATTTGCCGGCACCTTATCGCAAATTATGTCAACAAATAAACTCTGCCGTGAATGGTTACTCTTTGACGGCTGTCACTATCTGACGTTCCTGCAATTTGATTGGTACCAACAAAAAATCGTCGGGGGAAGTGAAAAACTACACTATTCTGTCAGGCGTGTGACGGGTTTGGAGCACCGCAGAGGGCGCAACTCACGGGACCTCGTCAGGCTAGAAAACAAACTGTTGTGTTCTGAGCAATTCACAGGTAATTTGCAAATAGGGCAAACAAAATATTCATCAAAATGGACATACAAGTTTTAATATCATCAATGCCATTGAAACTAAATTATGAGCGATAATTTTGGAAGCTAATGATAAAAATATCAATTTTAACCCCAACATATTTAGTGAGTTTATCACTAAAATAAGGAAAAAGTCAATGATATTATTATGAAAAAAACAAATCCAGGAAATTTTTTACCCCAGGCCAAAGCAAAAGCAATATATCATATAGTTGAGTTGAAAAAAAATGGAAATATAAAAATTGATGATTTGATGAATGTCTAGACACTGAAATCACTGAAATCAAAAAGCAAGAAATTGTATTTAAAGTACATAAACCAGTGTCAGTGCCCATTCTGAGCACATTTGACACTGAAAAAATATTTTCTTTGAAAAAATCAAATAGTCTAATATCACAGAGCAACTTGGTGAGGTCACAGCGCAACTTGGTGAGGTCACAGCGCAACTTGGTGAGGTCACAGCGCAACTTGGTGAAGTCACAGCGCAACTTGGTGAGGTCACAGCGCAACTTGGTGAGGTCACTGAACAACTCAGTGTGGTGACTGAACAACTCAGTGTGGTGACTGAACAACTCAGTGTGGTGACTGAACAACTCAGTGTGGTGACTGAACAACTCAGTGTGGTGACTGAACAACTCAGTGTGGTGACTGAACAACTCAGAGTGGTGACTGAACAACTTGGTGTGGTCACTGAACAACTCAGTGTGGTCACTGAGTAACTTGTTGAGGTCTATTAGCAACTTGGGGAGGTTACTAGGCAACTTGGTGTCATCACTGGACAACTCAGTGTGGTGACTGAACAACTCAGTGTGGTGACTGAACAACTTGGTGTGGTCACTGAACAACTCAGTGTGGTCACTGAGTAACTTGTTGAGGTCTATTAGCAACTTGGGGAGGTTACTAGGCAACTTGGTGTCATCACTGGACAACTCAGTGTGGTGACTGAACAACTTGGTGTGGTCACTGAACAACTTGGTGTGGTCACTGAGTAACTTGTTGAGGTCTATTAGCAACTTGGGGAGGTTACTAGGCAACTTGGTGTCATCACTGGACAACTCAGTGTGGTGACTGAACAACTTGGTGTGGTCACTGAACAACTTGGTGTGGTCACTGAGTAACTTGTTGAGGTCTATTAGCAACTTGGGGAGGTTACTAGGCAACTTGGGGAGGTTACTAGGCAACTTGGGGAGGTTACTAGGCAACTTGGGGAGGTTACTAGGCAACTTGGTGTCATCACTGGACAACTCAGTGTGGTGACTGAACAACTTGGTGAGGTCACTGAACAACTTGGTGTGGTCACTGAGTAACTTGTTGAGGTCTATTAGCAACTTGGGGAGGTTACTAAGCAACTTGGTGTCATCACTGGACAACTCAGTGTGGTGACTGAACAACTTGGTGTGGTCACTGAACAACTTGGTGTGGTCACTGAGTAACTTGTTGAGGATCTATTAGCAACTTGGGGAGGTTACTAGGCAACTTGGGGAGGTTACTAGGCAACTTGGGGAGGTTACTAGGCAACTTGGTGTCATCACTGGACAACTCAGTGTGGTGACTGAACAACTTGGTGTGGTCACTGAACAACTTGGTGTGGTCACTGAGTAACTTGTTGAGGTCTATTAGCAACTTGGGGAGGTTACTAGGCAACTTGGTGTCATCACTGGACAACTCAGTGTGGTGACTGAACAACTTGGTGAGGTTACTGGGCAACTTAGTGAGGTTACTGGGCAACTTAGTGTGGTCACTGAGCAACTTGGTGAGGTTACTGGGCAACTTGGTGAGGTTACTGGGCAACTTGGTGTGGTCACTGAGCAACTTGGTGAGGTCACTGAGCAACTTGGTGAGGTCTCTGAGCAACTTGGTGAGGTTACTGGGCAACTTGGTGTGGTCACTGGGCAACTTTGTAAGGTCACTTGGCAACTTAGTGTGGTCACTGAACAACTTGGTGAGGTTACTAGGTAACTTTGTAAGGTCACTTGGCAACTTAGTGTGGTCACTGAGCAACTTGGTGAGGTTACTGGGCAACTTTGTAAGATCACTGAACAACTTGGTGAGGTTACTAGGCAACTTTGTAAGGTCACTTGGCAATTTAGTGAGGTCACTGAGCAACTTGGTGAGGTTACTAGGCAACTTTGTAAGGTCACTTGGCAATTTAGTGAGGTCACTGAACAACTTGGTGAGGTTACTAGGCAACTTTGTAAGGTCACTTGGCAATTTAGTGTGGTCACTGAACAACTTGGTGAGGTTACTAGGCAACTTTGTAAGGTCACTTGACAATTTAGTGAGGTCACTGAGCAACTTGGTGAGGTTACTAGGCAACTTTGTAAGATCACTTGGCAATTTAGTGTGGTCACTGAACAACTTGGTGAGGTTACTAGGCAACTTTGTAAGGTCACTTGGCAATTTAGTGAGGTCACTGAGCAACTTGGTGAGGTTACTAGGCAACTTTGTAAGGTCACTTGGCAATTTAGTGTGGTCACTGAACAACTTGGTGAGGTTACTAGGCAACTTTGTAAGGTCACTTGACAATTTAGTGAGGTCACTGAGCAACTTGGTGAGGTTACTAGGCAACTTTGTAAGATCACTTGGCAATTTAGTGTGGTCACTGAACAACTTGGTGAGGTTACTAGGCAACTTTGTAAGGTCACTTGGCAATTTAGTGAGGTCACTGAGCAACTTGGTGAGGTTACTAGGCAACTTTGTAAGGTCACTTGGCAATTTAGTGTGGTCACTGAACAACTTGGTGAGGTTACTAGGCAACTTTGTGAGGTTACTGGGCAACTTGGTGAGGTTACTGGGCAACTTTGTAAGGTCACTTGGCAACTTAGTGTGGTGACTGAACAACTTGGTGAGGTTACTCGGCAACTTTGTAAGGTCACTTGGCAATTTAGTGAGGTCACTGAGCAACTTGGTGAGGTTACTGGGCAACTTTGTAAGGTCACTGAGCAGCTTGGTGAGGTTGCTGGGCAACTTGGTGAGGTCACTGGGAAAGTTGGTGTGGTCACTGAGCAACTTGGTGAGGTCACCGGGCAGCTTGGTGAGGTCACTGGGCAACTTGGTGTAGTCACTAAGCAACTTAGTGAGGTTACTGGGCAACTTGGTGAGGTCACTGGGCAACTTGGTGAGGTCACTGGGCAACTTGGTGAGGTCACTGGACAACTTGGTGAAGTTAACAGAGCAACTTGGTGAGGTCACTGGACAACTTGGTGAGGTTAATAGGCAACATGGTGAGATCACTAGGCAACTTGGTGAGGTCGCTGGACAACTTGGTGAGGTCGCTGGACAACTTGGTGAAGTTAACAGAGCAACCTGGTGAGGTTAATGAGCAACTTAGTGAGGTTACTGGCAACTTAGTGAGGTTACTGGGCAACTTGGTGAGGTCACTAGGCAACTTGGCGAGGTCACTGGGCAACTTGGTGAGGTCACTGGGCAACTTGGTGTGGTCGCTGGACAACTTGGTGAAGTTAACAGAGCAACTTTGTGAGGTTAATGGGCAACTTAGTGAGGTTAATGGGCAACTTAGTGAGGTCACTGGGCAACTTGGTGAGGTCACTGGGCAACTTGGTGAGGTCACTGGGCAACTTGGTGACATTACTGGGCAACTTGGTGAGATCACTGGGCAACTTGGCGAGGTTACTGGGCAACTTAGTGAGGTTACTGGGCAACTTGGTGAGGTCACTGGGCAACTTGGTGACATTACTGGGCAACTTGGTGAGATCACTGGGCAACTTGGCGAGGTTACTGGGCAACTTAGTGAGGTTACTGGGCAACTTAGTAGTGAGGTTACTGGGCAACTTGGTGAGGTCACTGGGCAACTTGGTGAGATCATTGGGCAACTTGGTGAGATCACTGGGCAACTTGGTGAGATCATTGGGCAACTTGGTGAGATCACTGGGCAACTTGGCAAGGTTACTGGGCAATTTAGTGAGGTCACAGAGTAACTTGGGCAGGTCACTGGACAACTTGGTGAA